TGTTGATTTCACTGTAGAGGATGATAAATTAGATGAGCAGGTTGTTGTAGCTGAAACAAAGAAAAAGGTTAAGAATTTGGATGACATCAACTTTTCTGATGAGGATTCAGTAGTGGATTCTGATAGTGATGATGATGGGGAAAGCAAATGGCTCATATTTAGAGCTGCAACAGACATGAAAGACCCCCATTTCACTTTAGGCATGACATTTGCTTCCAAACAACAGTTTAGGGAAGCAGTTCAAAATTATGCTATCAATAATGGCAAAGAAATTAGAACTCTTAAAAATGACAAGGAAAGTGTCATTGTTAAGTGTACACAGGAGGGTTACCCTTGGAGAATAGGGTTGAGGAAAGTAATAGGGTCATTCTCATGGAGGATTTTGAACATGGTAGATGAACATGAAGGTTGTTCTTGGGTTTGGGAGAACTCAATGGTGAAATCAAGTGTGGTTGCTAAGAGGTGGGCAACTCAATTAAAAGATCACCCAGATTGGATGATGAGAAAGTTCAAGGATAAGGTGTGCACAGAGGAGGGATTTTATGTGAGTGATTCACAAGCATATAGGGCTATTTGGAAGGCAAAGAAGATAAGAGTAGGTGATGAGGAAGACAACTTCAAGATATGTCCTAAAATTGTCAGGAAGTTGAAGCAAATAGAGAAGGCTGCATCTGGTTACTTAGCAACCCAATGTGATTTCTTCAAGTTTGAGGTTAGACACTTATATGGGGATCAACAGCAAGTTGACCTTGAAAGAAAACAATGTTCTTGTAGGAGGTGGGAGCTGACTGGCATTCCATGCAAGCATGCAATATGTGCTACATGGAAAAAATATAATATGGGAAGGGTGGAGTGTTTGACTTTGTGCATCCATGCTATTCAAAAGAAACCTATCTCAAGATATATAGTGCAAGTATCAACCCAATGGCAGGTCCTGCTGAGTGGCCTAGGTGTGATAGACCCCCCCCCCCCCATTGCCACCCTTGTATTCTGCCAAGGTAATTGCTTGATTGCTGACCCTTATCCTTTAACTCTCTAGTGTATCAAAACTGATTTCATTTGTTGATGCTATTCAGGTTGGGAGGCCCAAAAAGTTAAGGACAAAATCAGCTGTTGAGTTGATCCAAGATGGAAATAGAGTGTCCAGAAACCACATTCAACTGCAATGTTCTATATGTAGGAAAGCTGGACATAATGCTAGGAAGTGTCCATCTAATCCAAATAAAAAGGTGTAGTATTATATTCTGTTGCATTAGAGTAAACTGTGTATAAACCAATTGAAACTTAAACTGTTTGTTTTACAGTTGAAGCCAAAGAAGAGGGTCATCTATGCCACTCACCAAATCCCCATCAATATGCCTACAAGAGAGCACCAAAGTGGATTAGGACAGCAGCAGCATGTACAAGGGGAACATAGTGGGTTAGGGCAGCAGCGGGTTGATGACCAGCATGGACAAGGGGAACATAGTGGATTAGGACAGCATGAGGTTGATGACCAGAATGGACAGGGTGAACAAACTGGATTAGGACAAAGTGCACAACAGACTGGATCAGGAGAACATCAAGTGAACCAACAGCAAGCCAAATCCAAGAGGGGAACCAAAATGAAGCAATCAAACAGGAAAAAGCCATATTATACAAGGAGCAAGACAGTAATGAAGTCCAAGTTCTTTGGCAACCATGATGACCCAATTGACATTGAGTGAATGCATGTGAATATTGATTTGGTTTTGGAAACATTTGGTAATGTAATGATGAAGTTAGTTTGTATGTTTTGGTAACTGTTTTGGCTGCTAAATGATTACAAACTGTTTTGGTAATAGCAGCTCTTTTGAAAGCAGCTTGTTTTGGTCATAATGTATGATAACTATGAGATTATGGTTATGCAGTGTTTTGGTAAAACAACTCTTTTGAGATTATGGTCATACTGTTAAATCATAGGCTTGTGCAGTGTTGCTAAAACAGTCAATCATTGGTGAATTGTAAACCAAAACATACCATCATCCTTACATTAACAAAACAAACCATAATTCTTACATTAACAAAACAAACCATAAATCTTACATTAACACAACATACCATAAATCTTACATTACCATAATCCTTACATTACCAACCATAATCCTTACATTACCAACCATTCCACAATTCTAAAATTACCAAAATACATTACAACTACTGAACACTTCTTTGGATCAGTTCACTACCAAAACCTACAACCAATAATTAGTGCAACTATTACAACAAAAACTGCTACAAACTTGTTCATCCACTTAGAACTACCAACCACTTTGCCATCAGCTTTATTACCTTTAAGCTTTCATATTTAATTTCTGTATCTCATCATCTTGTCGGTTGATGCGTTTTAGCAATCCCGGAATTATTCTCTTTGAACGATAGCACATTGGAGGATCATATCAATCAATAAATCCACATCCCACATTACCCTGGATTAATTCAAAGAACATTTATTCAATTTCATTCATACATCCCGTACAAAAACTTACAATAGCACCGGAGGCAACATTGCCAAAATCTACGACCGGGATTTTCATTTGTCCATGAAGTTCGAATTTTCAATTGTTCACCACATCTACAATGGATAATTGGAAACCTTTCTCCAAATTCATTGTACTCAGTAGCAGAATTAGAAGAACAAGAAGAATATGAATTAGCCATACCCAGGACGAGCTGATGGAGAATGGTGCGTGCAAGTGGTGCGACTGCTTTCTTCTCTTCCAAATCGTCTCATGCTTCCTTCGCCTCTCCCAGAAATCCAAAAACCCTACTGCTGCTATCTTCTAAGGTGGAGGTTAATTAAGGTGGGAAATGGGAAGCCGTTTTTCCCCTTTTTTCTCAGACCCTATGAGACGATTTTACCACCCCCCCCCCCCCCCCCCCCCCAAAAAAAATAATAATAATAATAAAGAAATGAAATTGAAATTCCGGCGAAAATCTACCGGCAAATTAGCCGGAAGGACTTAATGTGTAAAAAAAAAAGCATACTAAAAGGACTAAATTTGTAAGTTTTAAAAGTCACGAACTGAAATTACCACCTCCCCTATAGTCATAGGACCAAAAGTGTAATTTTCTCAAAAATCTCTCTTCCCAATAAAATATATTGATTCTACTTTCCCATTCGTACAATAGTTCTGAGTAAAATTCTATTCTAAAATTATAAAATAGTGTAATACAATTCCCTTTGCACATTTATATCTATACTATATATAAAAACAAAATACTGAAATTTTAACTTCCCGCCCAATTCCTAATAAATCTCTCTTCCCAATAAAATATATTGATTTCTACTTTTCCATTCGTACAATAATTCTGGGTAAAAATTCTATTCTAAAATTATAAAATAGTGTAATACAATTCCCTTTGCACATCTATATCTATACTATATATAAAAACAAAATCCTAAAATTTTAACTTCCCGCCCAATTCCTAAAAAATCCCTCTTCCCAATAAAATATATTGATTTCTACTTTCCCATTCGTACAATAATTCTGGGTTAAAGTTGTGAAGTGCCAAAAGTTCGGCAAGGCATAACTTTTGACTCGGTTGTCCGTTTTTGACAAATATTTTTTTGAAATCGCGAATTTTTTCGAGATCTATCCACCGCAAACTGCCGTAGGCGGTTTGGCCCACCAATTTCTAAAAAAAAAAAATGCTTTATTAAATAGTTTCTAAGAAAAAATTATGAGAACCTTATGTTTTATTAATGAATTTTTAAATTAGAAATCATTTAAATATTAAAGTAAAACACTAATGGGCTGTTTGGTTCACGGAATAGGCATGAAATGACATAGCATTCTCTGTAATAGACTTATTTCTCTATTTGGTAACCACATGTATTCTCAGGAACATTGTTCCCGGGAATGATCTATTCCTCTTGCAAGGGGAATAGAGATTCCTAGGGGGGCCCTGGTATTAGGCTATTCCTGAGTTCTCAAGAATAGCCTAAAGTTTCTATTTCCTATTTTACCCCCCCCTCCCCCTCCCCCTCCCCACCACCACCACCACCACCGCCACCAACATCACCACCACCACTATCGCTGCTACCACACCGTCGCCACCACTACCACCACCACCATCGCCGTCGCCGCCACCACCACCCCACCACCGTCACCAGCACCCATCACCGCCACCGCCACCGCCCGCCGCTGCCACAACCGTCGTCGCCGCCACCACCACCACTGCCACCGCCACCACCACCACCTATTTTTATAAGAGTATTTATGTCTTTTAAAACATATTTCATTTTTATTCCTAAAATCAACCAAACACTGTAATATAATTCATAAAGTCTATTCCTTCTGCGAACCAAACAATAGAATACAATTCATATTCTATTCATTACCTATTCCATTCTTTATGGAATAGCGTTCCTATTACCTCAAAATTCATTCCGTGAACAAAACGTGGTGTAACAGTAAAGTTTGAATAATATATAAGAAATTAGCAAAACACGTAATTAAAAAGTTCCAATAAAATCAAGATTCATCCCAATGAAAGACAAACAATATCAATACAACAAAAAATGTTGAGTTCTTATTTAATTTGATGCATCAACTTTACATAGTCCCTTTTGAATTTAAAATTACTTCATTGACATGGTTACTTAAAAGAATCCAACATTTTACATACCAAAAACAAAAGGGAAAAGGGTCAAATAAGCCTTAAACCTTATCCAAAAAGTTAATTAGGCTTTTAAATTCTTAGATGTTGCAATTAAATTCACAAATATGTTATTTTGGAGCAATGAAACCCACTAACTTATTGGTGCCTTGTAATTGCAGGTCAATTAGGGTTCCAGCCAACTTTGGCGAACTTCTGTCCAAATCCTGGCAAGCTAGGTCAAATACAGGTGGAGGCCGGTAAAGGACCAACAAGACTTAACCAACCTAGCTTCCCCCAACAATCCTCTAACTATCAATTGCTGGACTTGGCCTTTTACCCGCTTACACCCAACACATTTCAATATAATTTGTGTAATATACAAGGATTCATGATTTTTATTATTGAAAATGCAAGTTGGATTACACAATCAAGTCTTGATATATATTTTACAGGGGAAAAATACTTGAAACAAAACATGACTATTACTTACGCAGATCAAGCACAGCTATAACAGTCTGTGCAATAGTGAGCGAAAGAAGAAATACAGCTGCAATGGTAGAAATCCCAGCCCAGGGAGTGTTGAAGTAATCGTGCCTTAGTTTTGCCATCATCACATTCCATGGTTTGTTGTAGTGTCCATTCAATTTGTTGCACACATCACTGTAATAGAAGCCATCACAAGAAGAATACACAACCCCTTTACAAAGCCTGTTAAAAAGATCAGTCACTTCTTTGTCATCGCCCAGCCAATTTACGAGCACTCCATTCATCCGAAACAAGTTCACATCTTTCTCTGTGTTGATCAGATTATCCATCAACTGGGCATAATCTGTGAAATACATGTTATTCTTGTCACACGAATGTTGCTCGTAGGCTATCATGTTTCTGAAGAATGTCTCTGTTGGATCAGTGATATGGAACTTGGGGATCTCCAGTTCAGCATGATTGAACTTTATGTGGAATAGACTCGAGCTCTTGACAACCTTTTTAAGGTTAACTCCTGCTTCTTGGAGCTCGGTTGCTGTTCGTATATCGGATGATCCAACTTTAGAATCTTGTGATTGTTTCCCCAGGCTGCAAGGGAAACATAATGTCCAATAATGCCTCTCTTCCTGAATCCCACCATTTTGAGGATTGCAAAGATTGTGAACTATCTGAAGTAAGTGCCCCTTCATCTCTGTGGCATTATTATCCCCAAGATTTGGGACAATTGGGGGAATCAACCTTACCTTTGTTAGCATACTTGCAAATGTGATTTTCACTATATCCAAGAATTTTGGTTTACTCTCATCATAAACCATGCCATGGAGTTCTTGCAGGACAAAAAATGGAAGCTGGTTTTCCAGGAGCAACAGGTCTCGAAAAACTTGAAATTTCATCCCAGTAGGCATGAAAACAGCATTATTATCACATTTCTTCTTGTTTAGCTCCTCCTCCTCTTCTTTCTTAGTTTCTTCATCATATTCCCTGTAAAGAAATTCTGCTATAAAACACCCATCAAGCAACAGCATCTTCACGAATTTATCGCCTGCAGAATCGAGGAGGAGTTGTATGTCCTCATCATCACCATAATAGCTTGCTGCTTTTTCTTTCGAATCCTTTAATTTCTCCCAACACTGCTCCATACTGGGTTGTTTTTCTCTTTTCAAAAATAAGTCTAAATACATAAGCTTCAAATTTTCCATTTTGCTCAATTTGGCATTCCCATGGTGGTAAGGGCCGATGGAGATTAGCAATGGCGTATAAGCATCTGTGTTTGTTCTACGTAGCCCTTCATGCACTTTGAATATGCATGCTTCTGAAGATAACTGTTTCAAATTTTTTATATCCCTTTTTAATGACTCGTAGATTGGTAAATCTTGTTGATCTCCCTCCGTGTTTTCTATCATACCTTCCAAAAAAAAAAAAAAAACATATGTGTTGTTTATGCCAAAATGAAAAAAGCATATGTTGTTTGTAGAACAATTTTTTTTTTTCCGTTTGTTTTTGGTTGAAATTTTGAGTAATTCCAACCATGTATCTTATATTTCATACATTCGTTTCCCACTCAACTAAATGATTCACTCTACTGGCGATCATTTGTGTTAAATTTAAATAATCTTTTAGTTTACCCATAACCCATTAAGTTTCAAAGTTGCCACATCGAAATTCATGAACAAATACAAATGGACAAATTATTAAGAATCAAGGAATAAGGTTCAAATTGGCCACTGAACGTAATCTGAAAGTGCAATTAGGTCACTGAATGAAAAAAAAGTGCAATTAGGCCACTGAATGAAAAAAAAGTGCAATTAGGTCATTGAACACTAAAAAAATGTGTAATTAGACCACTGAACTCTTCAAACGTATGCAATTTTACTGTTATCATCAATTTTAGCAGGTTACCTGCTTACGTGGCAGCTTAGTTGACATTTTAATAATTTTTAATAATTAATTTTAATAATAAATTTTATAAAAAAATTAGAAAAAATTAAATAAAAATAAAATAAAGTCGTTTTTATTTTTTAAACAATTTTTTAATAAAAAGTTATTATTAAAATTTATTAAAAATTAATTAAAATTTATTAAAAATGCCAACTCAGCTGTCACGTAAGCAGATAACTAAAATTGAGGGTAACCTGCTATCAGGTGAAATTGCACATTTTTGGAGTGTTCAGTGGCCTAATTGCACTTTTTTTTTTTCGTTCAGTGGCCTAATTGCATTTTCAGGTTACGTTCAGTGGCCAATTTGAACCTTATTCCAAGAATCAATTACGAAGAACTGCAAGCAAAAGGGTAGGATCTAAAGAAATAAATTAGAATCAATAATGAATAAATAACACGGAATATAATAGTCAACGAACAATGATAGGAGGCCAATGAAGAAATAATACCAGATCAGACAAGATTTCCAGAAATATATGACAAGGAAACAATAATAAAGAGTGAATTATCAATGAACAAATAGTAAAGGAACAAACATCAATTTTTTTTTAATTTTTATTTTCAACACTCCCTTTTAAACCTCATATTCTCATATTATTAAACACCATAATACGTACTAGATTGATAAAATTATAAAATTAATGAATCAACTAATTTATATATATAAAAAAAATAAAGTATTTAAAAGATCATAGGATCAACTTTATATACCTTACTGTCTTTGTAGCTCAGAAATATATATATATATATATATATGTGTGTGCGCGCGCGCGCAAAAGGATAGAGTACGTAATTTGGCAGTGGGTAGCTCTATACGTGAGAACTGGCTGGATTTGAAGCTTTTATAGCACAGAGCCACAGATTGAGAGATAAAGCTTTTAGTTAACTTCGTCACAACTATGACGTTATCCATGACGTTGACATCCAGCGACGTTCACATGCGTGTTTTGCGCATGGATGGCCACACCCACCACGTAGAATATAGCATATCCAATTGGACCAATTAATTAATTTTAAAATACTACTAGACATATTTTTTATATTAAACATTAAATGCATAAATAATAAATATTAATCCAATTGTCACAAAACACAAAGGTTTGTCTATTTGAATAATACTCCGTATATATATATATATAGGGGCACACTCTCGTGATAATCACTACCCATGAGAGACCTATGAATCAATCAGAGCTGTCGTCGAGAAGAATCGAACAAATCTGAAGCAATTAGAGAAAACCATTTGGTAGTATTTTTGTAAATAATACGAATTTTAAAGTACAACTTTCAACACTCTAGAGTGCCGGCCACTAATCAAAACTAGAAAGTGTATTTGTTGAAAAATATGGTGTCATTTTCATAAATAACTCAAACTTTAAAGTGCAACTAATAACACTATAAAATGCAACTATCAACACTACAGAGTATAACTAAGCAAAGTTATAGAGTGCACTATTATTACACATATACATATATATGACTAGAAAACTTTATAATGTTAGTTTTTTTTTTTTTTTTTTTTTTTTTTTTTTTTTTGGGTGAGATTTATAATGTCAGTTGTATGTACTCTATAATGTTGTTAATTATACTTTAAACTTTGAGTTATTTATTAAAATGGTATTGCATTTTTTCCCATCATTCCATTGCTTTAATACTGTTAGATCTTTTTAGATTAATGACTATGAGTGGTTCCTACTTCTCTCAAGCGATAATATTTTTATTTGACTATGGGATAATTGGGTAAATTGGCATACCCGACACGACGAATTCAGGACCAAGCAACAATCGTGCACTTAAAAGGAGACCATACATATTATGAGGCACCGCCTCATTAAAGGAGTAAGAGACCGCTTGATGAAGAGCGGTAGGCTAATTATTGCAGGTCCCATTATAGTAAAAGAGTCGTTGATAAGTATAAATAGTGGACCATGTAACAAAATAAGGGACACGCTAAAAAACTTATATTCATAATCATCAAATTACATTGCTTGTTGCTTCTTTCCAAATATACTTCAATAACATTCTTACCGTCACACACACACACACACATATATATATGTATATATATATATATATATATATATATATATATATATATATATATATATATATATATATATATATATTCCGTCATATATATAGTCTTATTTTATAATAGAAATTCTCCGTCATTATTAGGTGTAAAGGAATATAGTTTTTACCAAATTGTCAAATGGAGACAATAGTGTAGTTGGTAGGGTGAGCATTATTTTGTCTCATATAATCATATGCAATGAGATTGAAGCTTTTGGGTGGCGTTGACGCTCCCTACGTATGAGTATTCCATAGCATATGAATCTTAATATAGAGGCTGATGCGAGGCTCCTTGGACCTTGGCTTGGTTCAAACTGAAATAACCTTGTGGCATTTTGTGTACTAATTGGTACTTTAATTTAAATACCGTAAATTATTAGTTATTCACTCAACAATATTACATTTTCTCATATAAATAATAAAATTTTTATTTCTGATTTATTACATTTGTTAATTAGTATAAATATTATATTTTATTTTGACCCGACTCGTCTTACTGACTCACACAAGTTTTTACCTTACTAATAAAACAATAGATATTAAATAAAATAATAAATACTCCGTATATGAATAAATTAATAGTGTGATTTAGTTGTTTGAATTTCTATTAATTATTCAAGTAACAAAGGTTGAATTCTTAATAGTATTAATGTTCACATGATATGATTTTGTTAAATAAATAACAAGACGAAAAGTACTTTTATTTAAAAAAATTCGTGAAATTTTCAGTTGCATACCCGGTCCCCGGCCTTTATGTACAGCGACATATATATATATATATATATATATATATATATATATATATATATATATATATATAGAGAGAGAGAGAGAGAGAGAGAGAGGCACAAATTAAATTAGCTGTCTCACCTTGATAAAACATGCAACAACCACTGCTGACTTTCAATGTCTTCATGCCCTACCTACCTACCTATATATTAATAACGACATATTTGCAATAATTTACTTGTGTCGGTCCAATAATTATAAAGAATAATTATTGCGTTTACTCTTGTCACTCTGGTGTGAAACTATATCATATATGTTCCTAAATTATATTATGAACCAGGGATCACATTCTATTATTGATCCTGATCCAAAACAATATTCAGATTATATACATTCAATTAATAAATTATATACGTGTAAATATATTAAAGCTACATAATATATTAATTGTAATAGATACATAATTATATTTATTAACTGAAATTGCATAATATGTTAATTGTATGTACATAACCTGGATATATGGTGGACGCAAATCAGCAATATAACAATTGATGTGCGAAAACATAACACTATTATATGTCAATGTAGTTATGTACCTAATATATCACTATATTATATGATTTTGTGCAATTTAGTTTATGTACTTTAAGTTTGTACAATTTAATCTTTATATTTTAAAAATAATTAAGAAGAATCATTAATACTAATAAAATTGACTGTTTATTTTACTGACCTTACACTGACATCATATGATGTCATCAAATTCAAATTTTATTTTATTCATTTAAAGACTAACATATTAATATCAAGATTTACAAAATAAATAAGCACTAATGCCTTAACAACTAGGTTCAGTGTTCTAACCTATCATGAAAATATTATTACCTCACTCCACGGGCTGGGGTGCAATTGATTAATCATCATCCCATCCGATACTTTTGAATAGATTTTGATGGAAAGATAATGAAAGTGTTTGGTAAAAACCTTAATTTTGAAAATACATACACAAGGAAACATATATATCCCGAGAAAAATTACACTTTTGGTCTTATGACTATTAAAATCTTGTTAATTTCAATTCATAACTTAAAAAATTAACAATTTAGTACCCTAATTATGCAATTTTTAACATATTTGGTCAATCCGACCAATTGTCGCCGGAATCTTTTAATCCATTTTAATTTGATTAATTCAGGGGCAGATCAGTCATTTAAAGTTCTTCATTCTTCTTCCTTGCAAATTGGTTACCAGAGAAAGAGAATTTCAGGGCAGCAGTTGCGGCGAGCGAGAAGTGTTACAGGTATCGGGAGGTGTTTTGATCTTCTAAGAAACCGAATCGGACCAGGGTGTTCCCGCCGCCCCTGACGTCAATCAGCGGCAGCGATGAGGTCCAGGTCAGGCTCCGCCGTGAAGGCGGTCGGTTAGTCATCACCGTTGTCGTCGTTACCCTCTGCAGGCTGCAGCTCTTTCGTCCAGGCCAAAAGATTCGACGACCACCCCAGGCTTTCATTAAGAAAAACAAAGAATGAGGTTCTTGAAACCGAGGAAGAATTAGACGACGAGGTGGTTTCTCAGCTTGAGATTTACGGCGACAGTAATGATAGAGAAGGAAAAGGTCATAAAGCCAGTGCGGCACCGATGATGTTGTTCCGATAACAATTTCGGCCAGCAGGTGTAACGAAAGTGAGATTCCGGCGAATTAAACCTAGAATGGCCGATTTGCCCTCGAATTAAACAAATTAAAATGGATTAAAAGATTCCGTCGATAATTGGGCGGAAATTTGGCTAGATGGACCATATCTGTTAAAAATTGCATAGTCATTGTACTAAATTGTTAATTTTTAAAATCGTTGATTGAAATTAACAAGACCCTAATAGTCATAGGACCAAAAATGTAATTTTCTGTATTAAAAAAAAAAAAAAAAAAAAAGTGAAACATTTACATCTGCTTAATATGCTAGAAATTCATTTCACCAATAATAAAAAAGCGATAACTAAGTTGTTAGAGTTAATCCACAATAATTTGGCTTTTTTTTCTTTTTTGAGTAAGGGAGGAAATATGTAGTCACTACACGATGGTATACATTGAGTCAACTTCGTCTTTTGATCCTAGATGGCAAAGGACCACAAGAGTAAACTAGCCTAGATTGCCTATAGCTAACTGACTCAAACCAAGAAAGTCAATATATAGACCGCTCTTGCTCAGAGTCAAACTTGTAATTTTGTGATTTCTTAACACCTTGACCAACTTGGCTATAATTGTCCCATAATATTACATATTTTAATAATACAAAAAATAGGGGTATAATAGTGATATTCTGATCTATATCCTTTAACGATGATCTTTTAAAGTTTACTAAAATCTAAAGATGATGATGCAGAATAAAAATTCATTACTTATAAGGTTAAGGTAGAAAATCAATAGTTGAACCGTAAAACCGTCTACAGTGGTGAAGAATATGGGACAATCTCACTTAAAATGATTGTGAAAGGCATCTTCTAATCCCTTCGGAATTTGGAAATTGGAATCAAGATTTAGTTGCATAGTAAAGGGGTTCTTCATGCTCTTCACTATCTTTATTTTTTCTTTGATTTCTTTTGTTTTTTTTCTTCTTCATAATTAGAGTAAATTTTTAGTGTTTTAAAAAAAGAGAGTAAATTTTTAGTAAACTTATAAACCCAAAAAGAAATTATGTAACGATAACATATAAATCCCAGCAGGAGGGCATTGTTCAGCCCAGTAATGTGCAAACTGATATCCAGCAAGATAAAGACCAAGTTGAAAACATGTCCAAAGCCTTAACTCCACCAATTCATAAGACAACTTTCAGCCCATTTTGAATCAATTCAAAATTCTACATCTTAATGAAGCCCAACCCACTGTTTGTCAATTGCAATCGTTATGCCGTGGAACCGTGTCCATCTTGCAAGGTGGACACGATTCTATGTTCATAAGTATTAAACTATATGTTCAAAATTATAAAGCTGTATATTCATAATTTTTGAACTTT